TGAGTACCGGCATTTTACTGAGTACCGGCACCTTGCCGGTACTCAGTAAGAAGTGCCGGTACCACATGGGTAAAAATCAGAAGTGCCGGTACTGTGTACCGGTGAGTACCGGCCCAATTCAAGCACTGCCCTGCCTATTTACAGGACTATACATAGTGTATGGCCTGCTAAACATGTGAATGATACTCTGCGTATATACAAATGTGTATATTTCCAACTGTTGTTAACTTCAAGAGACTGTTCAGTCCTGGTTAAGACAAGAAGTACGATTTATGTTGGAAACAGTTTTAATGCATTTTCAGTATGCATAATTTGGTGTGGAGAAATTACACTTAAGACATACAACTGCAACGAAAGNGGGGCGTGGGGAGTGGCTCCTTATTTTCATCTAAAGTAACAGACAGAGAATGCAGCATCCCATAATCCCCTCTGTTTCAGCCCTGTTTCAAAAGTGCTGATTCTCTGTCTGTTACTTTAGATGAAAATAAGGAGCCACTCCCCACGCCCCTCTGAGAGATATTTGGTTACAAAGAACACAATGGTGCTCGGGGTTACCGTGATTGGCTAATGGTTACACAAGCCAAAAAATCGTTATGACATCATAAAGTGGCCAAAATCTGATCAGCTCATTTTCAGGATTTTATATAAATGGATCAGGACAAAAAGAGAGGGGGTCTTTGTTCCTGAAACTTTAAGCATATCTTTACACAGAGGGGACACATGTTTATGTACAAAAGACATGAAAAACTCGATTTTAAATAATAGGTGACCTTTAAGATTCAACACTTACTTTGACATCTAAAAGAAATATTACTTATGAAAGCATTTCCACAGCTTCTTAGAAACGGTACTCCTGTCACTCTCAGAAGCCAGAAAATGTACCACATTCTTCCTGACCATGGCAACAGCAAGAGATTTGTTAAAAAAAAATGCATTACATTACAGTCACTCACCCACGTGTGGCATGACAGACAGCGCCTGATGGTAGAACCTTTCTGCCAGCTGCTCAGCCTCCACTCCGGCAAGTTCATTCTGATAACGTGCTGCAGAGGACACATTATGAACAGGAATAGAGTTATAATAACAGTCAACAACAGGATACAACTCAGGCTAAGATCTACAAATGTACACTGAACATGCTGAAAATGAATTTGAATGTGTCCCATAAAATACTTATATCTCTGTATCATGTAAGCCTAAATCCACCAAACAACTTCTTGTCAATTCTAGAGCTACGCCAATTTTTCCCACGCTGAATGACATACACACATGCTGCCTCACACCCTTACAAGCTGGGGAAAGAGAAGAAATAATTGCATATTCTATAATCATGTTGTTACCTAGATCTCCAAGGTAGACCAGACATCGATGACAGGCCATCTGTGCCCACTCCATCTCCTTGGGGGTGGCTGACACGGGTTTCTTTCGACCTGCGAGGAACGATTACACAATGTTTTTCTTCCCATTCATTTCAAGCATTTAGCTGATGCACCTACCCAAAATGACTGAGTTGTGCAAAAAGGACCAGCTCAAATCACTGTAAAGCCACGATTTTTCAAACAGCAGAGTCGTTATGATAGAAGCAGCTCTGAGACATTAGTCCTGTTTCTCTGTCCCCGGGGTGTTAAAGTCCACAAGTGCTTCTGTTTTAGGCTGCAAAGTAGATCATATGTCTAGATTAGATCAACTTTCACTTCATGCCGGAAGACAGGACATTTACATTTCCCCCGTTAGCCCCTGTTGTCTGATGGCATCTGAGTAAAAGGATAAGTATCATCTACACCAGTGCTTCTCAAACTCTTTTCAGTAATGTACCCCCTTTGAAACATTTTCTCAGCCAAGTACCCCCTGACCGACACCGAACATTTTAGATCGAAAAAGCCTATACAAATAATTACAATATAGTGAAGTTCCATCAGTGTGTGATGTATTAACTCCTTTGTGCATGAATTACAAAGAACTAAGGATATTTTCAACTTCATGCATGAAAAAAATAACATAATTCTTTTATAAATCAGATTTTTCAGGAGTTTTTCAACTGAAGTAATATATGTTTAACAAACTAATGAAAAAATTGATATATTGTGAAAAACTATAAAATACAATACACACATTTGACATGTTTATATGAGGACCCCCTTGGTGGTTCTAAGAATATTTTATATACAATTGTGTTTTCTATTGAGCTTATTGTACTAAGATTATTTTTGTAATCAACATTTTTTTCTTTTCTTTTTTAAATCTCACGTACCCCCTGCAGTAACCCAACGTACCCCTAGGGGTCCGTGTACCCCCATTTGAGAATCACTGATCTACACTATAGCAAGAACCATGGTGAGCCTGCACCTGCTTCCGTTCGTCCACCAACAATACTCTGACTTGGCACTTCTCCACCCATGTGTCTGCTGTGCATAGTGGAAGGGAACACTGACATCTGATAGGACTATATTCAGACAATAGACACATTAACACCTGGTCTAAATGCAATGCTGGGATCACACCATTCATTGTCCAGTGTGAAGGTATATAATACCAGCTGTAAATGGTGGTAAACTTACAGTGGGTACCAGGGACATGCGTGCACAGGTACGTGCTAATGTTGCCCGGGCAAGTATTGTAGCGTCTCGCTGCGGGAAACACACCTTGTCANGTGTGCCTTGGCAGTCCCCCCCCGCCGCGCACGGTACAAATTCGCTGCTGTTTACTACCGCATATCCGGAGCCCGAAAGATGGTATTCGGGACAGCCCTAGTAAAAAACACGACCAATTGGCCCGGCTAAAGTAACTTTAGAACTCCATTCTTACCTACCCTACCTTTAAGTCTCCGAGTCAGTGTCTGACACATAGATCAATGCATCAAATCCCCATGGATGTATTCTCATTTTATTTAGGATTTATGCTGCTTTGTGTCATTTCAAATGTAATGTTTTGGGAGAACTACAGCTATTTGTGAAGTTAAAAGCTATTTAAATCTTTACACATCTTGACATCTTTTACAATTAACGTGAAGGAATACAAACAGGCAGTGAATTCTCCTTTTCTTTTCCAGATGACCTGGAGATGAGGGATGTGTCCGCCCCAGCGACAGAGGGGAAGCCTCTGCAGAACGGCTCCCTGGAGCAAGAAGATGAAGAGGAGGAGAAGGAGGAAGACGGCTCTGAGAGGGTTGGTGCCAAAAAGCCTTGCAGCGTGGAAGAACAGCGCAAGTTGGAGGAAGAGAAACAGAGACAGAAGAAGAAGTACACCCGCCTCTCCAGACTGCGCCGACGTCGCTGCGCTCGCAAGGACACTCGAGGAGGAGAGGATGAAAGCGACCTGAGCGAGGGCTTCGAGAGCGAGGAGGACGAGGATGAGGAAGACGAGAGGAGACGGCGCACTGATTCAACGGGGACTACCACGACAGCAGCCCCCGTCAATCCTCCATCCGTCAGGAAGGAGACAAAGAGAGGGGAGGAGGGGGTGTGGGGGAGCGGCTCAGAGGAAGAGGAGGAGGAGGAAGGGGGGACGGCGTTCGATGTGGAGACCGACTCGGACATGAACAGCCAGGAGTCTCGCTCTGACCTGGAAGACATTGAAGACGCGGAAAGCCCGGACAACTTGGAGGGTCAGGCGCGGGAACAACAGGACGAAGAGGAAGATGAAGAGCAACCCAAGGAAGAAGGGGGCGGGGACAGGGAGGAGGACACGCCTCCAGCCACTAACGGCCCTCTGACGCCCAGCGACTCCAGCATCAGCAGCAACCTGCAGGCCATGTCCTCCACGCTCTTCCAGGCCAAGCGTTGCTTCCGCCTGGCGCCCACCTTCAGCAACATGCTGCTGCGGCCTCAAGCCTCTTCCCCCCCGGGCATTCCCACCCCCACTGAGGTCTCTGCTCCCCCCTCCCAAGAGACTCCCCCTCCTCCTGGGGAGACACCCTGCGATATCAACCCCGGTACTGCCAACGGAACCACCACTGAAAATGGTAACGATTTGCCTCATTTTAACGCGATGTGTTTTTATCCGTGCTTTTTCCCCCAGTTGATCAGTTTTATGCTTGTTGTCGTCTCACATCTAGACTTGGACTCGGACACAGAAGGCAGCCAACACAGTACTCAATCAGTACCGAGTGAGAAAACCCTCTTAGAGAAGCTGGAGATCCTGACCAATCAGGGGTTGATCCAGGTGGTGAAGGTGTTTGTCGACTGGCTGAGGACAAACACCGACATTATCCTCATGTGTGCACAGGTGAGGGGAGGAATGTTTTTTTTAAATATAAAACATTGACTTTGTCGGAGTAGATCTAACAGCCTGGTTCCTTCTGCAGAGTTCTCAAAGCCTGTGGAACCGACTGTCTGTGCTGCTCAACCTGCTCCCAGATGGCAGCAAGATGCTCGAGGCTGGTGAGTTACCGCGTAAACATTTATCCTCCTGTAAAGCTCAGCAGGCGCACGATAGCTCAACAGTATCTTGGTTTTTATTCCGTCTGGGTCCACTAATGCAAAACATTTCCTCTGAGATACTGGGTAAAGTATTTAAAGGATTAGTTAAACATGTCAACAACTACATGTATTTGCTTTCTTGCTGAAAGTTTGATGAAAGGTTTGATGATACTCTCATATCTGTATGCTGAATATAAAGCTAGTGAAAGTGGGTGATTTCCTTGGTTACGCATTATTATTGTCCAGCTAACCGTTAAACTCTATTAGCAGTTTTCTGAGCTAATGACCTGCTGGTTATATCTGAATGTTTGGCCTACTCACATGAAACTTGTATCCATCTTCTCATCTAACTTTCTGGAGATTTCCCAAAATGTTAATCGATTAGTTTTTAACGAGTGGTAAAAGAATGCTCCGGCTTACTGATAAAGATAATTATATTTTCATAATTTCAATATTATTATGTGGTCTATTTGTGGTGGTCATTTAAATAAAGGGGACCTATCATGCAAAATGCACTTTGTGATGTCTTTTATACATAAATATGTGTCCCCGGTGCGTCGGGGAACTCACGCAGCGTCAGAAAATAAAACCCTCTCTCTTTTCCTCCGTACCCAAATCTTTTAAAAACGGGTGTACAACGAGCAGATACAGATTTCCATCCGAACTGACGTGTCCGTCCGAGGTGACGTCGGCGGACCCACAGAAAGTTGCTATCAGAAACAAGGCCTGACGTGTTTTGGATGTCTTTGTTTACATTAGCAAGCCTCGCTAACACTCAGAGCTAACCTGTACTGAAGAGCACATGTGATAAACCTGCAAGAGAAAAAGCATTTGAGCTCCATACTATTTCAGAAATAATCCTTGACGTGGTTTAAACCTGCAGAGAGATAAAAGCATTTGAGCTCCATACTATTTCAAGAATAAATTCCTTGACGTGGTTTAAAAGGAATGGGCGTTTTAATCACAACCGATATTTAACTTTATCTCCGTAGAATTCTGATCAGGCATTACTGCCAGCCTTCCACTTATTATTTTTCAAAGCTAAGGACCCAAAAATCGTGCGTTTCTCTAAACAGGGCGTTACAAAGAGGGTTGAGCAGTATGAGGCATGGCTACAATGGGTGATCTGTTTGTATTTGAAAAAAAACTTCAGCAAACATGTTTTATATAGTACCCTCAATATATATATTCTCAAATATAGCAATCTATAAGGTCAGCTTTAAATAATCATACACTCATAGTAAATAAGTTGATGAATTAAAGAGCAATAATTAAATATAAGGGCGTTGAATGCAGTTGGTGGTGTGATTAGTTATGTGTTGTTTTCGCATGTTGTGATTTGTATGTTGTCGCATATCCCACAGCGTTCCCGGTATGCTGGTGTGTAATACTTAATAAACAGCAGATAATACTCTGTGCATTTCCTGTAATTTATACCACCACACTAGATGAACTTGTGCCCAAGTCAAAACAGCTCATGTATTGTTTGTGTGTGTGTGTGTGTGTGATGTGTGTGTGTGTGTGTGTGGTGTGTGTGTGGTGGTGGTGTGGTGTGTGTGTGTGTGTTGTGTGGTTGTTGTGTGTGTGTGTGTTGTGTGTGTGTGTATGTGTGGTGTGTGTGTGTGTGTGTGCCGCAGAGCTGGGTCTTAGTTGCTCGAAGTGACGGAAGCTGATTAAATGAGTGTGAGGCAGCCCGGTCTAGATCCAGAGCTGCTTGGCTGCCGCGAGGACTTGGCCCTACGAGCACTTGGCCCGCTCCTGAACAGCAGGTCACCCGCCTTCGCCTCGACTTCACTCACCGCAACGCCCTCCCTCAGCTTCCCTAACAGGAGGTAGCAACACACGCTAACACACAGACACACCACGCAATTCATTTTAGCAGATGTTCAGTGATGGTGAACACCATGCCAAATACCATACATAGGTAGAATTATTAATGTATACCCTAGTCGTAATGTTTGCCTTTTTGTTTTTGGAGTTCTGAGGCCTAGTTTGCAAATATATTTAAAAGATCCTTATTCGAGAGACAGACCCAAATAATTGTACATTACTTCTATAATCACTGAAAGGAAGGATAACTATACACAGACCCCAACTTACGAAGCGATGGTAGAAGTGACCAACAAATTGGGCCACGATTTAAAACATTTTATAACAGAATTTGATGAAATTACTTCTTTTGTATGTGGTATTGATATGTTAAGAGAAAACGCAGAAATACTATGTCTGTAAATCTTACCCCAGACACTGAAACAGTGTCGTGTTAAAACACACAAACACACGATACAACAAAATGGTTGTACTATTGAGTAAAACAAATTAAAGTTCATTTATCCTGCGCCAATATGTATTGATCAAAAATAATACAGAGCTTGAAGTATCTTTCTCCCTCTTTCCTCGCAGTGTGTGGTGCGAGTGTGTTGCATTCGCAGTTTTTGGCCATTCCTGACGAATCTCCAGGGCAACCGTGCGACACTTCAACGTCCGGAAGGTTCGGGCATCTTCACCAGCAATCAGCCAATCGGAGCAGGATAATCTTGGTGCAAGCAGCAAAGGCCAGATCCGATGGTGAGTACATTCTAACAGTGCACTGGGACAACGTTAAAAGAACGCACAGGGGCTTGCATTCAGTCAACTCTCATTATTGTGTGTCAGCTCATACGGTGAAAATGGTTTTGTGTAATCTGTTGGACTCAATACATGTTTGATTAATGACCGATGAAAATCAATGGGTTTAAGATCAAAGCAAATGTTCCCTTTTTAACGGCCAGGCCGCTTCGGTCTTTTCTTTATTTGTCGCAGTTGGCGGAGTAAGAGGAGGTCTGCGGTCGAAATCGCTTGATGAGGATATGGCCCCAGCTTCGACCTACAAGGTTTTTAATATTATTACTGCTTTCCACTGACGTGCTCACCCTGTTTGTGTTTCCCTTTGAAATCTGAGCATTGATACAACATTAGAAACCCATGCTGTGCTCATACAGTCATCAGTGACAAAGAGCGAGAGTTCCCAGGCTTTTGAGAGAAAAAATTTTGTTAAGAAAGAGCTTCTATAAATAACCTTTATATTGAGTTAAAGATATACATTTGTGAGGAAAATATTCTCTTAAAGACAATGGTTTAGCCTTTAACGAATCCTGTTCAGTCACGCTTAACGCATATGTCTTTTAAGAGAATATATTGTTCGCTCACAAATGATATCTTAACTCAATATAAGGTTATATAGAAGCCTTGCTTAACAAACATTATCTCTCAAAGCCTTGGGAACTCTTGCTCTTTTGTCTACTGATACCTTGTATGAGCAGAAAAAAAAAAAAAAAAAAAAAAAAAAAAAGACATTGGGTCGATGTTGTCATCAATGCTCAGATTTCAAAAGGGAAACAAAAACAGGGTGAGCAGTCAGTGGAAAAGTAATAATATCTAAAAACGTGTTAGCGAGCTGNCGAACTATTACCTTAAATAAAATCACTAATTAATTAAACCAGTTCAATACGCATTATTCTTATTCTTATCATTCTTTATGAGCGCAGTAACGGTAAGGTTACCTTACCGTTACTGCGCTCATAAAGAATGATAAGAATAAGAATAATGCGTATTGAACTGGTTTAATTAATTAGTGATTTTATTTAAGGTAATAGTTCGAAGCTCTATTTTTATCAGTATGTCTGCACAGCAGTTACAATGGTCAAACTACATTAAAACAGGATTGCCCCCACTTTTTTTTTAATAGTTACTAACATTAGATATTTTAATGGGATATTGACCGCAAAACTCAAAATGTGCCTGAATAACGAAATTTAGCAGTTGGAAATACAATTCAACTGAGTGTCACTTGCAATGACAGTGTTGTGTTTTTATTTTATGAACCTTTTACATCAAAAAGTGTTATGTTTTTTTTGGGGGGGGGGGGGCTTTTTTTCCAGTTTAGAGCAATAGCCCCTCCAAATGGCTGTGCACGTCGCTGGTGGGTACTAGGGGTTTATTATACATTTGATTTGTTAAGATGGTAATAGAATAAGATTTGCGCTAGTGGATTCATCTTCAAAAAAAGAAAAAGAGAACGCAAGTTGTTATAGTAGAAAAAGGACAAGTTAACCATTGTTCAGTTATATTCTATTAAGTGTTCTAGTAAGCCATTAAAGTGAACCAGCATGCAAAATACAAAGCAGCTTCTGCTATTAGTCATTTTATTATTCACACCTCTCCTGTGAAAATAGCCAATAAATTGATCGGGATTTTTTATACATTTTTATTTCTAATATATGGGCATGCACATTGACAAGCACATGCAGAACATGTACATTTTACACATCCTTCTTAAAATCTTTTTTAGAAAGAGCTTAGATGTTGCTTGTGTGTTTGCCTGTTTTATATACAGTCATCCTCTGTGTGTGAATTAGTTTCTGACCTATCAGTGGGTCCGTGACGTGGGTCCAGTCGATGCAGTCCTGCAGCTCCAGCTGGTAATGTGACTGGATGTAAAGCAGCAGGTGCTGGTAGAAGCCCACGCCGGCGATCAGGTGTGTACGGTAGGCGCACTCAAGAGCGCTGCGGCTGTGGATGTGCTACAGTGGAGGAAAAGAAAAAGAAAGGAGAGGAAGCAGGATATTATAGATTTAACCACAACTACAATTTGAATCAGGACCTATGTTGTATAACATACCGTAGTTTACAATAAGCATCAAAAAGGCCCAAAAGTCTAGAAAAATAAAATATATTGCACACCAGCTTTACAAGACGACTCCACTGTATAGCATATTGTTGGACTCATAAAAACTGATGCAGCAGAACCAGATCAATCATATCTTTACCATTCATTTATTTTCCTTATCAAAACAGGACGCAAATATTACCAACATAATAATCAAACGAGGTCAGTGCAACACATTTGAATCTACAAACAAACCAACAGTGGTCAACAGAGCCTCGAGCCACTGAGCTAAAGCAGAGAGGAAGAGTGGTCTACATCGAATGGACGAACTTTCCATTTTCAAACTTCTATTCCTACGCTGAGTTACTTGAGGACATGAAAGCGATTTCTCACAGATGTCCCGCACTTGATTAAAGTACTACTTGATTCTGGCAAAAATCATAATCTCGATTATTTGGGTCAATAATTGATATCACGATTATTAAAAACGATTATCCATTTACTTTGGAAACATACATTTATTGGAGAAATTGTTTTTGAACAGTATGATTTGAACAGTTGATTACCCTGAACTTTAAGTATAATTCAACTGAAAATCCAATTTAAAAAAAATTAATAAAAAAAAAAGAAAAGTAATAATAATAATAAAAAATTATCTTTTTATTTTGATTACATTGTGTTCGTAATCGTTGCAAGCCATAATCATAATTGCGATTAATTGAGCAGCCCTACTACTTAAACACTAGTATTTAACCCAAAACCAATTGCTGGAGTTCCACTTTAATAAGTTTACACAGGTGAAAAAAAGTGCAACAAATTACTAAAATTGCTTTTGACCTTCGACGTTTTCACTAGCATCTGAATCAGAGCACACACACTTGATACACAACAGAAATGATAAGGCTACTTTTGATAAGGGCAGTCATTTGGGACTGTTTTCAGGGTGTTGGTCCAATATCAAAGCAAAGTGGCAACAGGGATATTTTAGAAGTCTGATTCCCATTGAAACCGTCCATGCATATAATGAACAACACACTATGTGTACGTTACGCACCAGCGACCACAAAATGGCAGATGTCAAGGTAGAGCTGACCTTTAAATGGCAGCCAGGAGGTCACGCTGGATAACAACAGAAAACTGTCTGGCTAACACATGCCAGGAGGTTTTTTTTACAGACTGCTGCAGAGCCAGTTACCTTCTTGTTGGTCTTGATAACCTGGATGACCTCATAGTAGACCTTCCTCCAGAGCAGCTCCTCGGCTTTACGGCCGTAGTCGACAGGATGGAGAAACATCAGCTTCACACAGAGCTCCCTCAGCCTGTGAACACACACACAAAAAGCAGCACACACATGCATAAGTTAGTTGGGTCACCGGTTTGACAAGTAGACCAATGAGTCACATAGTTTCACAACAACAGGTCGGCTATGTTTTACGTGAAACCCTTAAGGGACACAAATTGGTTGGTGGGCATTTTTTACGATTAAACAAGTTAATATTCTGTAAAGGACCTTTGGTTGCCGCTCCAATTTATAGACACTACATGAAAGACAACTGAAGAATCTGGTGCTGTCAAATACAAATGAATTGTAAGCATGCCTTTCCCTTCTGTGACTCATATGGTCCGTTTAAAGTGTTTAAAAAGTCAGAGTTGTTCTAAAGAATATTGTGAAATCATTGTCCCCTTTATGTGTGTGGGCAATGACAAGATTCTAATAATAGTTAGCCAAGTACATGCAGTATCTCCTCTTTGATGAGATGCTCGTCTCCTTGCTCCTTCAAAGCCATAGAAGATAATATAATACTCAAGAACAATAAAAAAGCCTCACCTTGCACTAGGGAGACAGATTATCTCATATGCAAGTGAAGTACAAATTATGACTCTTGTGTGACATTTTGAGATAAAGCTCTAAATATTAGTGTAAAAATGTGGAAGAATCTGATCACTTATTTAAGATGTGGGGGGCGGGTCTTCAGCGATGCCAAGCCTTAGTATTGTAGTAAATGCACATGCAACACACGCTGAATCATACAATTATATCCTTGATAACTGATTATGCGCTTTGTCTACAAAATGTCAGAAAATGCTGGTTAATACAACCAAAATATGTTTTCCAATACAGTCCATCATCTATAGATATTCAGTAAACTATTACACAACAAGCTAATATTCACAATAAGACAATATTACAACATATTCACAAGCTAATATTCACAATAATCCCTGCGTGTGTTTGGCAGCTTTCCTTGAAAAACGACACAATTAGCTGATTAGCCAAGTCGTTGACAATTAATTTTCTGCTTAATTGCTTAATTACCAGCCAGTTGCTTAGGCTCTGAATGCAGCCTTGATAGAAAAATAAAGACACCTCTTGAATTCTTTAGAGTGCCTGTTGGTTCCTAAGGCAGTCAGAGAGAAACTGTTTCTCTGTCTGTGAAGAGTAAACACACTTCCTCACATTTAACTCCAAATTCCACTTTCTCTTTTGGAGCTTTAAGTTCATAGTATGCATGCAGCGATCACATCTCCTCACACATACATTTAAATTAGACGTTGAAGCTTACAGGTCCAGTTAAGTTTCTAATGTGAAACTTGGATTCCAAATATCAGGTCAGATCTGAGTCTTTAATCTCACAGAGATGCTCTATGCGGAATATAGTCATGCCCAATTGAACACAGAGCGTCCTAGAAAAAAGTATTTCAGCCAAATGAACTGGAGGTGAGCTGTGTGAGGGGTTTAAATTCATAACTATGTTCAGAACAACTGGCCAGATGTTAAAGTTGAACATCTGCCTCCTTTTACACACAATGCTGGTAAGACAGATGGACATACTTGTTGCGAAGGCTGATGTTCTCCGGCTTGAAGACCTCTCTGTAGGATGCTTTGCTGCCGATGATGACATCCAGCTTGTGCACAGACTCCACCACAGCCCTGGGTAGCATTGGGCAAATAGAGAACATTAGTTAGCATAAAGGCTAAAGCTGAGATTGTTATACTGTGGGCCATCAAGCTAGCAACCATACTTTCTGTTTCATGTCTCTGTACTAAGCACCATAGGGAGGTACTTTTGTAATTACATGTTTGAAGTTGCTTCCTATTTCCTTTCACAGTGGCATTGTAACTGTGTCTTATAACCATTGTTATAACACCAGATCTGTTGATTGATCTATGTTTTTACAAAGTACAGTTCTATGTTTATGAGGTATGATACAGTTCAATTTCATCCTTGGATTTACATCCGTTTATTAACTAGTGCAAGCATACGTGGAGCTTTCTTTAATTTCAATGTTAGGTGGGAGTCCTCAACAAGCCATAAGGGGTTTATACATCCCATCTTTGCAATTTCCTATGCAATAGCATATTCATCTTCTTTTGCTTTACTTTATTAGATGCATAAATACATAATAGAAACAATGACACATGCAGCTAACTCAGGCTACACAAAGCATGAGGAGTGCCCGGTCAGATGTATCTGGAGTTGGGCTTCTCCTTGTACAGACATATTACTGAATAGAAGAATAGATCACAGACTCTTTATTGTGGTAGCCAACATTATGGGCTTGCGCTCAGTTACCCAGCACAATAACGTTCAATTAGCACCCCGGTTAGCTAAACGCAAAACGGCCTCGGCATCTGAACATTACCTGTAAAGCCGCTTGATGAGAAGGACTTTCGCCTCCGGCTCGCTGTCCTGCCCCGGTCCACTCATGTTAGCGAGCTTCCAGAGGTTTGAACACAAGTTCCAGCGGCTGCTCCCGCTCCCTCCAGCCGTCCAGACACGCAGTTGTCACGGATACTCGGGTTTGTTCCCCCGGCAGTGACAACCAGCTAGCGCTAGCTATCAAGGTTAGCTTTCCTCCCTTTCCCTCCGAGTCTCTTTCGTTTATTGTGTCCTATGGCAAGACCCCCTCTACCCATTCGTTCTGAAAATCGGGTAGGGGGGCGGGGGGGTGCCTGGTGATTTGGGGTCTTCCTGGTCAGCTAAAACGCTCTGATATGTCTCTTGTGTTGTTCCCCATTCCAGCTATTGCTACGAAGGCGGCCATTATTCCTATCAGGCAGTGACCGCCTGATTATCGCGAGAGTACAGATCACACTCACAAGACTAAAACAGGGGTTGCCAGGTTGCATGATGATGCCCCAATTTCCGAAAATCTTGATCCACTTGTTTCCTTTGCCACAGGAAATTAGACATTTAGAAAAGATTTGCAAAATTGCCTTTCTTTAATTTTGCAATATATACTTGCATACTTTTTTATATTCTATATGTATATGCAAATAACATTATGGCTGTGTCACAAACAACATAAATAGTTTCCACTTCTCATTTTATTTGCATTCACCTTTCGATGATTTGCTTGCCCTCCTTGTCTTTCTTTCTTAAGAGGGCATGAGGTTGATGAAAAAGACTTCTGCTAATGAAAACATCATTATGTTATCAATAAGAATGCTTTCCCTCCATTGCACAGTGACCATAGCGACTATAAACTCTGTTGTTGTAATTCCTCTCGGTTGCCAATAGAGGTCTACAAAGATCATAGACGTTTTAACATCCCTATGAAGGCTATAACGTTGCAAAGAAATGGCATTTCGAGATATATATGTTTGTATTGTTTTTGTACACCAACATTTATATATATGTATTTCCTGACTTTAAAAACAGGATTTTGGTAAGACAGACGATGATGGAGGGGGATCAATACATTCAGTTAGGGAGTTTTTTTTTTTATTGAGGTGCTGGTTGGTCATGTAAAAGTTGGGTTGTTTGAAGTCAGCATGTAATGATTTAAAAAAAAAAGAAGGCAATTTTAGATTTTAATTATTACATTACATTAGGCCTACATTACATATGTTACTTGTTAGACGCTTTTATCCAAAAGCGACTGACATACTCAATACTGTGGGCAATCCCCACAGGAGCAATTTGGGGTGAAGTGTCTTGCCCAGGGACACAACGACTTGCTGACTGCAGTGTTGATCACATGTTTTATAGGTACATATTTTGATATGAAAAATGAAAACCTCATTGGTAATTTTATTGTGACATCAATATTATTCAGAGTTTAACTTTGCAGAAATATTGCAGGAATGTATTTCATGCTGGAGGCTTGAGCATGTTTAGGTTTAAACTGAACTCTGTTGTTCTGTTTATATTATATAAACCATCTAATTTCTCCTCCATTGTGCAACATTTTTTCCGGCAGTCCAAACTCAGAAGTTGCCAGCCCACTAAGGAAATGCAGGCGATTAAGTGTAGGAGGATGAGGATAATTACAAGCTGGCAATATCCAGCCCAGTCCCCAGTTCCCAGATCCTGCCTGCATGCCATCCTCGCTCTCAGCACCTCAGCTGGAGAGGAAATGATCTGCTCTGCTCACCAAGAGAAGAATCCTCCATAAGAGTGCCAAAATGAATCCTTTTAATGCCGACATTGAAATAATAGGTAATCAGATCAATACCCTTTAGTTTAGAATTGTAGAAAAATGTATGTATATATATATTTTTTTTTACAGATCACAACCTTGATATATAAGTGTGCACACTGCAAAATTATACAGTATAGTCTAGTAATCTAGTGCTGAGTCAATTAGTTGATAAACGGAAAAAATATTTTAAAGTAATTTAGGAATCCTTTTGTTTTTAACAATTTCAAAAACCAAAAAGACCAACATCAACAATGGCTTCCTATATTTTAAGTTCATTTCTTCCTGCTAAACATTTTTTAATAGGGCTGAGCAATTCCCTAAAGTAAGCTAGTTGTTAGCAAATGTTAATTCAAACAGGAGAAGTGGTGCAAAAGTTTGGACTATTTTCAGTCATGGATTAATTGGCAAATAACTGGTAACATATTGCGTTGTAGTGTAACAGTGTGGATTATTGATTAGTTTTTAACAGTTTTTAGACAACAATGGTTTTCTTGTGACTGAGAATAACAAAAAGAGAGACTAATGCCAGCTTTAATCTGAAATGGACAGACACTTTGAAAAATTAAGAAGTTATTGTATTAAGAAACAGAACACACATTTCCACAGCAGGTTAAGAATTTAATTATTTGTTTATTTATTTATTTACGTATTTCTATCTCCAGATTCACCCACCCGAAAAATATAAATTCCGGTGTATTCCAAAAAAAAAAGAAGGAACAATGGCATCTTAATCAATCAACAAAATCAAAGTGGCAATAATTATTATCATTATTACAATAATAATTCAATGATCAGAATATCCACATTCATAACAAATCCATATACAACTGCAATACACTCTTCAACACCACTCTTCCATTAATATACACAAAATCCCCAAATGTCTGTCCTGTCAAAACAACAATAGAGGAATTTTGGGGATGGGGGGGGGCTATGGCTTGTCAAGGGGTATGAAGATGAGTGACCAGAGGATTAAATGGAGCTAAGGTTAGTTAGAGTATAAGGGGGGGAGGCACACTTATTTAGTAAGGACCTATACAAAAACAAGCAGTGTTAGGTAACGACAGTTTACTTTCATGGAAGGTTTTGCCAGTCTAACTGAATCTTAAGAAAGGTTAGAGGGCTCCATGAAAGGCAGAATTTGGGGAACAAAATGTCAAGAAATATATAAGGGTTGTCGGAATAAATATATAACTCTGAATGACAACCATTGCAAACATATACCATATCCTGAAGTGAAAGTCAGATACGCAAGAACTCAAAACAGGTTGAGCATTTTCAAAGAAATGCAGATGGAGGATTCTGGAAAAATTGTCTTAGTCTATATATGTACAAACATTGCTTGGTCACCCAAATCTACTTAGAAAAGCTTTTGAGTTGGTCAGAAAATGAGTGCAAGCTTAAGATTATGTGAGTTACTTCATGTATGACAGCTTTAAGAATGCAACTAAGTGACAGACCTTGCTGATATCTTAAGTCTGTGCACTAAGTGCCTCTGATAGCTCAGTACATTTAAAAACCTTTCCATGCCTCAGTATTGGTAACTTGAGGAGACCTATTCATAGAAAGAGAGAGAAATATTAGAGGAAAAATAACTGTACACTCTGCATATACAAACAAACTGTATATACACATGGACATACCATATATACACATTTATCCAGTATATACACAAAGATTTAGCCAGTACACTCAATTATGTACAAACACATTCACTCGTTTCAGCAGGACCTCTAACATATCTCTCTCTGTCGTCGGTTCAGTCATAAGTGCGAGTGGCAGGGATTTTAACTCGTGTCAGTGGGGTCCATCCATGGAAATGAATGGAGAGTTTTACAGCAGACTGCAGAAATGAGGCCACACTGAAACCAAGATGTTATCCTCTGCTCGGTTAAACTCTACAGAAAGATAGTCGAAAGTGGAGTACAAAACAATAAGAATGTCCTCATCCAAAGACTTTCACATCGTCCGTAAATGGAGAGCTCCATGGCGATTGTTGGGCGAGAAACATCCGTCCACTTTTTTTGTTTTGAATGATTATAACCAACAGGAAGGGGGGGTGGGGGGGGCACAGGTCACAGCAACGTGCAAACTGCTGCGAGGGGAGTAGGTAAAACACAAGTTTGTCCCTTTCTTCACAGTCCTTTAGGGCAACGATACTCTCCACAAGATTGTCTGAGTAAGAATACTTGCTTCATATAAAATGGATTATTTATGAACTTCCATTAGATAACTTCCAAGAAATAAACATCTGCTCCGGGAAGATTTCTGACGAAGAGTTCTTTTTAAATACTATTGTAAGAATATGCAATATCATAGAAATATAAATAATAACATTCTGTCCGGTTTTTCAAAGTCTTCATTGAAGCAAGAGTTTTGTTCTGAAGCAGTTTCATTTGTTGTATTAGGCTGTGCATATTTAGTTTCCTCTTAACTCAAAGTCTGAAAGAGATCCAACGGAAAAGCTAAAACTATGAATAAAGAAAGAGACCAAGTGTGTCTGAACTGGAGTAAAATAAAGTGGTTAAATAATGCTTTGAGAATCCTTGATAGATAAAGAGTGAGTAGATGAAGAGGAGTCAAAGGGTAATTTGAAAAGACTATGAGAGAGATAGATTGAGAGAAATAAATGCTCTTAAAGTAAATCAACTTTGACTGAAATGTTAAGAGAAGTCAAGCACCTTTGAAATACATCTTACCCACAATACACCTCCCCTCTCTCTCATTTTTGGGCATCACGCCTTCCTTGGCCTTTGTGTTCCTCCGTTTTGCTCGATCAGAGTGCATAGCTGTTCTTTGCATGCTCAGCAGGCTAACAAACACCAATATGTGTCCAGCCTACCTTTAAAAAGTGAATTGTAGATCCAACCCGAGGTGTCAAACACATTTAAAAAAATCTTGTTATCAAATCAGAGAGAGAGAATCCAAGTAAAGTAAAAAAAAAAAGAAAAAAGAAACCCAGCATTTCCTTACATGGTCCGCTGGGGCTCTGCACCATCCTTTGAGAAAAGAGAATGGGACCAATGCCCCAAGTTCTCCCTTTGTCAGCCAATCGCGTCACGAGAGAGGGCTCTGGACATTTGGCTATGCCACCCTGCGGACTGCCGATGGTGCATCAGCCATTTACGTTCCACATTGTCCTCCATGAAGCTTTGAGAGTGGCTAGGGGGAGAAAAAAAGGGTAGACAGAGAGAGAGAAGAAACGGGGGAGGGTGCTTGATCAGGTGCTATTTAAGCATAGCTTGAGACCGAGTATCTGCATGGTGGCAGTCTTTCCAAAGCTAGACTCATCTCTTTTATATAGTTGTTTTGTTCAGCTCTGAGGCAACTGCTTGTTTACCTGAGTCACTGAGGTATTTTCACAGCAATGTTAATTTCTCAATCACGGATAATCTCACATCTCTGAAAAGAGAGTGACGTTCAAACCTAGAGCGCTTTTAAATCCAACATTCTTCCCACACAAGTAATTTCACAAGAAAAAAGTAGCCCTACGAGGTGTCTCAATAGAAGACAATCTTCCCCTGCTAGCATTATTAACATTTGGTGGTTCAACAGTTAAACATTCATTGAGAGTATGAATCTAAGCTAATCCACTAGCATTGGCCTACAAAGTGCTAGCGTTGACCTTTGACACTGCAAAGTAGTCTGTTCACCCTAAAAAAAATGGCTGGCACAAAGCTGATGTGAAACTTTTCAACCTGCACGTTTAAACAAGCGACAAGCGAGTTGTTTTAGAGCGACACCAGTGTGCGAGGCTACAAAGACAAAAACAACAGATAGTTCATACACAAAATGAAGCAATATGGACACAATACAAACGTTTCAAAGACTTGGATTTTAAGCATTTGACACATGACAACTGAAGAGTTCATTTCATAAACACATCATACAGTATTTCTAAAATGTACCCTGAACGTCTTTTAATTTAATGCTGTTATCAAACGGTTTTAGAAATAGATGCCACTCTTTTGGTTTTAATCTTCATATTATGGAAACTACACAAATAACTACGTTATTTCAAGCATCAGGGGTAGTATATATTATTGTCTTAAGCAAGGCATTATTATGTGCATTTGGTCGATGACTAGCTAGTCTACTGGCCAAAGGATGCTCAATATATTTATCCCAGGCACTTAATGGCAGGCAAACCTAAATGGTTGAAATTGTCTTTTCACACACGATAATTGTATCATGCAACAGTGGCAATGTTTGTAAAAAAATCTGATAAATGTGGCCTAAATCAAAAACATAAGGAGACGATGATTAAGCTGCAACATTAATTTTGGTGAAAACGAGAGGAATCTGTTTTTGAAATGATTTATGTTTACGTTTACTAAATAATGTTTTATACACTATACTATACTAATACTAATGGCACCGCTTATCTTCTTCATATAAAAACAATGGACCAACAGTTATTAACAGAAAATAACCTTAGAACGCCATTCATCCATTTCATTCAAAGTAACTTCATTCCATGTTAATAGTATTAGTTCTCTGTGAAAACTGAGCACTTTGGGGCTGGGTCTTTACAAATATGAAATAACCCGCTCAATAGATAATCCATCAAATTTGAGCAGGGAGCTGCTTTCATTAACTGTGAATACAACCAGAGATTGGAGGAGTGCGCTTCTAAAACACAGATATGGAAACCCAGACAATCCTTTTGGACATAAGGACATAACAGGATGCACAAAACAACAAAGACAAAGACACATAGAAAACATACTGGAGCAATTCAAGTCCTGTCAAAGACAAATCGCAGGAGAGAGAAAAGACAGTGAGTGAATCATGAAAGAGGCAGTGCTATGGCAGACACAAACATTTGACTTGGAAAATGGCACCATTTGTTTCTGTTTAGCACCAGTTTATCACACATCGGTTTTGAGATTGAGAAGAGAAAAATTGCAAAAACTCAGTCCAAAAACAAGAAGTCCCTTGGATTGAAAAAAATAAAGAAGAATTCCCCAAAAAAGTCTTCTGTCACACAAACCTCTACGACGCTTGATCTTGTGACTTTGACTCTCAGTTTTCAGCCCACAGATCATTTCCTGTTACTAGCAAAGCTAACCTGGATCTCCATCTGTTACCTCTGTATCAGATCGCTATTGGAAAACCCTGTTGAAAAACATTCAAAGGCACTAAGAAAGCCAGACTACATCACCACATCTCTACCTACACAATTTGCAGCCTGGCGTGTTCAGGATAGGTAAAATTAACGCACCTACATCCACGGGAGTCAAGGGGTTACTATAAGCTAGCTTATAGCGCTTGCTAATGGCTACTATGAAGTCATTGGGGTGCAAGACATTCTATAGTGCTTGTTGTTTACATGTATTGATTTCTCATGAAGCCACAGCCGGGCAATGAGTGCACAGAGCAGGTGTTCACATGTCGACTTGTACGTCAAATGCTTCGTTTGACTAATTCTAAGAGTTACGTGATAAGGTATCATAATCTTGTCCTGCAAGACTGATACTTACTGCAGCTCCATGTGAGCATCAAGAGAACAAGTGTCCAGTGAAGAGCCCTTTGTGTTGTGTGTTCATGTGATATGCACTGTACAGTAGCTGAATGGTTACAACTCGTCTCCTGCACACTTTTTCTTCTCTCTCTTGCCACGGGAATAAGAAAATCTACAGATCATTTTCAGAGCATTATCTAAATAGGGGGGTAAAGCGAGGACAGCTGTGTGTCACCTCTCTCTGATTTGGCTCAGTGTTGTGTTTGACCTACTCCCACTTCTTCTGCTATGACTGTAGCTGCTGTTGCCGTGGTTCCAGTTGCCTGTGAGGTTGTCATGGGGGAGGATGTTTGGTTGCCAGGGAGCTCTCCATTCTGACTAGGATGTTGATGAGGAGTGGGTAGAGGGGGAGGGTCTACAGTTTGGGGGAGGACTCCATTGTGGGGCGAGCTGTCAGAGGAAATGCCCGAGGAAGAAACTCGGAGGCCTTGATCGTCGGTTAGCGCTCCTCCTCCTCCACCTCCCCCTCCACCTTCAGTCCTCACACCGGGGTCTGCGTAACCCAGGGAGGAAAGCTGGTTTTCCTGGCGAAATAGAGAGAGAGGGGAGGGGAAAGAGGAGTGGGAGCGGGGAGAGATGGTCGTAGAAGAGCGATTGGAGGGATGTGAGGAGTTGTAAAGGAGATGTCCAATCAAGGCAGATAACGTGACATGTAGAGGGAACAATTACAGAGTGTAGGAGGACGTGAGAATATTAAGATAAAGATGGATAAAAGGACAAGGAGGAAAATCACCAGAAAAGAATGTGATCGTATTGTGTGGAAGTGGGAAAACATCAAACATTGAGAAATACAAAGAACCGGTTTGATGAGTACATGGAAAAGCAATGTCAGAAGCAAAGTAGGGAGGAATTAGAAAACGAAAGACAAGTGAAAAGGGATTGGAAGAATCACACAGAGAGAAAGAAAGAGAGAGACAGAGAGAAGAGAGTCAAATGAGTTACGAAGTTGATGCATGACGTACACATATAGAAATGGCAGCACAGGAAAAAGGACACAGGGAAAGAGGGGATGAAGAGGAATTACAATTCTTGAGGTCAAAGGGTCCTGATCCACCTTTTATGCGAAGCAAGTAGTGTTTATCGGGTGTGAGGAAAAGTAAAGTGTCATTGAGAACATATCATGTTCAATAACAACTTAATGTGCGAGATTGGGTAGCTGAAAGATTTTAGAAGACTACAGACAAACTCTACAATTATGGCTTCTTTAAATATCTTAACAGCATAGCTAGCATCAGCCTGCTACTGAAGTCATGCAAAAAAACTTTAAGCTGCAACTAGCTCAGCGCCAAGTTCAATAAAGCAAGATAAAAAGTTGCATCCTTAAGCCTGGCAGGAAATCCAAACCTGTCGAAATCACCAACCGAGAGTCCAACCCAAACTCATTGGCGACAAAGCAATGAGCTGCTACATGGGTGTTCATCCTGGGTTGGAGCTTTTGATTGGTGATTAAGTCAAAGTTTGGTTTTGCCCTCTTTTCTTACCAACATACTGTAGGTGCAGAATAACAGCAATGCAAGACTAGTTTCATTATTAGTTTATATCGAGGTCTGTTTGCCAGCCTTCACTCCCAGTCGTGTTCACTGACGTCTGTGTAGGAGCAGTGGGAAGAGAAAACAATTGGGTTATTATGTCCATAGACATCTATGAGGACTTTATATAAAACTGTACTCATCCAAGGGTTACCGCAAGATGATTTGAATATAGATGCATTTTAAAAGCGGAAAATCACAGCTTTACCATCAGACCTCTGGTAGAACCTCTTCAAATAATTGCACTTGATTTATCTTGCCTAGCACATTTGCTGTGTGGTGTCTAGACATAATTACAGAGGCTCAAGTGCAGATAAGGCATATAAGTGGATATATGTGTGCAGTTATTAAACTCAGTACATTGCAAAATGTGTGTGACATTATATACCACTGTAATGCTTATATACAGGAAGTATGAAATACTGTATCATGAATGGAATGAGGTGCTTTAGAGGGAGAGACAGGAAGTAGGAAAGATAGTTTGGTCTGCATCCAGTATAGGAAATGAATCAAAGGCAAATTATCACTGGATAAGCTGTGTCTGTTGGGTGTGTCCATTGTGGGTGAAAAGTGTTTCCATTTCACTTTTTAAAAAAGGCAGAAAAAAAGTTAAAAAGAAAGAAAAGAATTACCCCAAAATCTGATGTAAATTAGAAGGCCTTTTTCTCTTCTCAATCAGAACCAAAATGAATGAAAACATTTGCAGCCGCTAACTGGTGCTCTGAACAGCTACAGTATCTGCTTTGGTTACAGACGGTTACAGGATGCCAGTAACATCACTCCACTAACACTTGTTTGATTACTCTCAAAAACAACCAACAGTGCCGTTTAATATCCATATGTAGACCATTACACATGTCTATTAAACTCAAGAAAACAAGCAGCTGAACAAAGACATGGCAAAATGTTGACTGACATCCTTTTTTTAAAACTTACCAAACTCACTCCACTCTCTGTGGGCTGCAGTGTTTGATTACTTGGTGCATTCAATTACAGCTTGGTTTGAGTGTTTTTTATGCTAATGAAAATTGGGGGTACTGGAGACAGAAACACAAAACACTTAGTGGAGAACTGAAATGTTAGGTGTATTGTAATGATGCAGATACAGTATCGTACACACAGGTTCTTACCCATCTCCTCCAATCTCGTATCAATTATCGTGGATGTCTATAAAGCAATCTGTAAAATCTTCCTCACTTCCACATGTGAAAGTGGTGGTTTGATCGACTTTTATGTGGCATGAAAACAAAACTGGTATGGTTTAAGATGACTAAAGCTAGCTGGTAAAGTGCTCTAACTCTGGTGCAAAATGAAAAGAACCAACGTATTATTAGCATCTCACTCATCCTCAGACGCACAAATGGCGACGCCCCCATTCAACCAAAAGTGTGCTCAGGTGCCAATATACATACACAAACACATAAATACCAGAAACACAGACTCACTGAAAGGAACAGAAAACACAAAAACATGTGCACAATAATCAGTGTTCTTCAGGGAAGGATCGGGTCGGATACGGAGATTTCCCATAATTGACGTTCTTTATCTGAGGCTGTGCCGGGAAGGGATGAAAAACTTAATGGAAATGTAAGTTCATGTGTCTAGGAGAAAAAACCGTTAAAAAATCTATTATAAAAGAGAATTCACAATATTTTGGAGACTTCCAGACAGATTTACTAAAGTTAAAAGACCACCATTTTTATATTTTATTTGTTGTTCACAAATCTGGATGGAAGTCTATGTAAACAAAAAACATGTGTGTATTCTCTTTGAATTCAGATTTTTTTTTACGTGGCTGCTTGAAAGAAAATGACAATTTTGCAATGAAAATTGTTTAAGAATGACATCAGGGTTTCACTGGGCTATTGTAAAACAGAGAGTATGTAGCTTCCTGTGTGTACAGCAATGGTAATATTGTATATTTTTTATTGAAAGGTTGTTCAGTTGAGTGTTGTTTATTAACACTATTAGTAAATTCAAAGTTAACCAAAGCAAAGTCTAAAATGGGTTGAAAATCATCAGAAAATATTGGAGCGAATCAATGATATTCATTGATTTTTTGTATTCCCCTGTATTTCCATTTCAAAGCAAAGATGTACAGGAAGGTCTCCGTATATGACATGAGAATAATTTGCTGAAATAATGTTAGCATACAGTATACTGTATTTGTAATGGTTGTTGTTTATGGTTGAATTGTGTGTGTGTGTGTGTGTGTGTGTGTGTGTGTGTGTGTGTGTGTGTGTGTGTGTGTGTGTGTGTGTGTGTGTGTGTGTGTGTGTGTGTGTGTGTGTGTGTGTGTCTGTGTTGGCATTTTCACTTGCAGAGGGCTGCAACAGTCACACACAAAACATTTGATCTTTAATATTTTTCACAAAGGCATGTCATATGCTCATTGGTCAACATAAAGAGACAAGCAACCTCATTCATGTCATATAATTCAAATAAGCTTCCTTTTCAAAGTCTGCCTCAGAATATAAACAGTGACTACAAGAAGGCAAGTTATTGTGTTGAGAGGGTGATAACAAAACCAAAGCAGCCCAACATATTTTTCCTGTTAAGTAAAAAACAAAGAAAATATATATATTTTGTTTCGATTGTGGCAATTTGCATACATTTAAAAAATGCCATCATTATAGAGAAGATCCTTCAAAGATGCATTAAGCACGATGTGCATGGAAAAAGTAAATTGTTAATCTTTTGCCATGATGACTCAACACATTGTCATGCTGATTCAAACAATTCAAGTGTCCCCACTCTGAGTCATATTACATTGTATACAGGAAGAACAAATGAGAGTTCTTCATCTGTAGGCGCCTGAAATAGCTTCACAACACCACAAGTGGGTTTTCACTGTAACCGTAACTATGCAAATAAGTTAGCTAACTAAGCTAGCTTGGAGTAGTTAGCCGTCTCCTAACGGGTTAATAAACAAACAAACACAGAGTCTTGAATTCATTATAAGTCTGTTTCGAATATGTCATTCTAAATAGCAGCAATTTTCAATCCAAAACTTTAAAAGTTATTATTCTGGAGTAAAAAGTGATCAGTCAGCCTGGTGCTGGATTCTTCTTACATTGCATTGCATGATTTATGAGTGCTACAGTTATTTGAGATGAACAACTTTCACCCTCAATCTTCTTAGTGCAGGTTTTAATCTTTGAAATGTTTTTGTTGTCACTCTTTCAACACAATCCTTCAAGTAACCACTCTGTGACAGGCCTCTTTTTCTGAAAGATAGATGGGAACGTGAGTGGGCCTGCAGTGTGTTGGCTTGCAGTGAGTTCACAGGGTGCTGCGTATGGACAGGGACGCACATAGAGAACAGTAGAAGAGGAACAGAGGCAGCAGGTTATGGATGAAGAGTGAGAGTTTGCCGGTTTGTTTATTACCTGGTTATTCGGGGTGGGACAGGCGCAAGACGGGGCTGCACTAGGATGGACTGACGCCTCCCCTAAGAGAAATCACCGTATCTCATCAACATAAGAGGAGAGGAAAGGAGAGGAAGGGAGGATTGAAAGCAAGAGGCAGAAGGAGGAAGCTGAGGAAACTACAGCCACTCAAACCAATACATACACAATGTAAAATGAAAAGTGAACAAACAACAAGGACATATAAAAACATAAAAATGCTTACAAACGCACATTTCCGCATACATTATGGAAACCATTCATCCAAAACATTATCAGATAACCCAGCAGCCTGGAAGAGTTTAAGCAGCTCGCCATGCGGTGTATCATTTACAAAAATCATGCTCAGGATAAGAAAGAAAAAGGCATTCAAACGTGAATCAAGCGACATCTGCATCTGAAAGCAGCTGATAAATCCCATGGACTTTGGAAAGCTGTATCTTTTGCACGTTTCCTGGTTCAGAAGCGTAAAATAACATGCTCATACAAACATGCAATCATCTACTACATGAAGATAAATATATACACACTTGAAAAAACCCATAATTATATTTGCATCAACACACTATGTCCTAAATTCATAGAGAATAGGATTTCTGCATTTTACTTGACATACGTCACAACCCACTCTCACTAAAAGATTACCAACATTCAAGAAGTAGCAAAAAGTGCACAAAGGCAGTGTGAATGAAACATTGATATGATTGATGTCACTGAAACCTCAGAAGGCCGCTTCCTCTTTAAATACAACTCACTGGTACCTGCTGCTCAAAAGAAAGTACACAAAGTCAAGCAAAAACTAAAAGGAGCTTCTAGAAATTAATAATTGAACAGCAACAAAACTTATGTGAAATACACATTATATATACATTCTTATGCGGCTTTCTCAAGTCATACCAGTCAAAGGATGACAGAAAACCAGTAGGGACAATAAGGCTATCATAAGTTATTATATGTTATATTAAGATTGTGTTTTTTTACAGCTGTACCAACAGAAAAAAACAACGATATAACAACCAATTAACCAATTAGCATGACCAGATGAGCGGAGGCACATTGATGAGTGTATTTAAACAATTAATACATAATCAATAACTTCAATTCTTCTTTATGAAAATTGACATGACATGACTTAAGTCAATAAGCTTCCTAAAGCCAGTGTGGCCACCAGTGCTGATAGTGTTAGTGATGATGATGCAGATTACCTTTAAAAAGCACTGATCAGCTTTCTGAATGTACACTTCACTGTTGCAATGGTCTCACTAGTAGTTTATATTGTCTCTCCTGACAGCAAGATGCCCATTTATAATATTTGGCAGTGGTTTTCGTATTAGTCGCTGACACATGCTTTTGTATACTTATACAGTAGTCACTAATGCATTCATGTCCTACTTATATTAGTTGTGAAATCTCATAATCTCTGGAGGGAAGTCAACTTTTTGCAGTGTATGTTTATCAGGATGCTGTAGTGGGAAAGATTAAGACATCCTGCACCTGTGTTATTATGTGAGCTCTAATTAAGTGTGGGCTGCTGCTGCTTTGGAAGCTAGTAGCAGTGGCCCGAGGATAAAATGGCATCATGTCTCTCCCCTCTCACTCCCTGTTCATTTACCGTTCCCTCTCTCAGAGCTCCAGTCTCCCCCCGGTAAAGCTGGGTGTCATCACGTTGGACTCAACTGTCAGCTCGTCTTAAGTGCCGTGGTTTATGAACAGAACGCCCTGAAGCTAAAATAGAAAATGGCACCAAATTCTCATTCACCATCTGTTTTAGCAACAAGCACAGAGAGCTGCATGTTGCTTTAAGGGTGTCTCATTTCTTCCTGTATATCAACGTTGTATACTGATTTATATGGGAGTAACAGAAACACTTGTACAATAGAATACAAATAAATTCAACATCCCTGTGATGCATGCTTTTTAAAACTGCTCTCTCACTTAGATGGATTGTCATGAGAGTTTGTCGAGACATTCAAGGTCCCAGGAAGATGTATTCAATATTTTCCTCTAGCGCAACCATGACAACATTGTGTTTTAAAAGAAGTACTGAGACAATTGGACTAATACTTGCTTTGAAACTTTGTTCAGGTATCAATGTTCTCCCTCAGGATCACTTAATTTAATGATCCATTAACACGTGATTTATCACCAAGGCCACTACTTTGTTTTATGGATAAATACCTGCAAAATGATTGACTACTATTCCCATCAGCCTTAGCTTTACTTGTGTTTACTGCTAGTTAAAAAATGTGAATTAGCAAAGCTGCTAGCATGGATGTTATGAGAATAACATTATTGTTTATAATGTGTTGTATTCTTTTAAACAACAGTGGCCATTTTAGTTTTTAAGATCCTTCACCTTCAAATGATCACATTTGTAAGCCAATAATGTCCTGAGAAGCCTTAAAGATTTGTCAATCTGTCTTTGTTGCGATGTTTTCCTTTTTAATAGAAGCATACCATGTTTAAGTATCTTACATATGGTTTAAACAGAGTACAGATGTCTTGACTTAAGGAAAATCCCTTTGTGTGGTTTGTAATGCTGGAATTAAGGGCTCTGTAAATGTAGGAGAAGTATATTCCTCCTTCAACACTGAGAGTGCCCTGCAGCTTGCAGATAACCTCAGCAAAGTTGGAATGTTAAGCAGGTTGCTGCCCGCAGTGTACTCTTCTTTAATCCAATAAACATTTTTGTCAAGGCAGAGTTGGAGCTTAACTTGTCTCTGGTAGATCTAAAGCCATATGTTGCAGCTAAATAACGGTGTGACCTTTATCGCTCCTAGTAATGGTTCCTCACAGACTTACAGTCACAATCCTGGAAGCTACTCTGCAATAGAGAACTTTTTAATGCTAATTATATATTGATATACATTTTAGTATAAGTATAAAGCCTTATGGGGTTTCTCAGTATATCAAATTGTTTCATTGGGTGTAATAATGAGCATGAGTAGCTCTCTTTCCTCTTGGCATGTTTTATCATTTCCCCTCCGCTTTTGATGAATGCTAGACATTCACGTTGAGGCTTTCCTTTGAATTTTCAGGGAATAAAATGACACACAGATATATTCACAATCGATATATCACAATTACGACTGAATGAAATTAAAGAACATGTGAAGATTGGCAATTGATTGAACACTTTGACAAACTTTCTGTGGGAATTTCTTTTGCTAATATTTTGCTTTAAAGTGTGTCACATTGTGTCACACAGAATACCCTCCACATGGCATCAGTTAAGTATAATATCTTTATGTAAAAAAAACATTCCACAATGAAAATAACTAATCACTCAACAGATAAAATATGATTATATATAAGCTAAGATAAGGCTGTACTGATCCATAAGGATGTATTCATAAACCATCCAACTTCATATTAATTGAATACAATTAGTTTGTTTATAATTCAAATCCAATAATATATAATGCAATATTCTCAAATGAGCCATTATGCATAATGACAACTTTTGGCACTTGAAATATATAATACTTTTCCTTGAGCAAAAACTTCAAATGCATGACTTTTACTGCTTTTATTAAAGTAAGAAATCTGAGTACTGCTTCTACCACTGCTGGGGGAAATCATCAAGAAGGAAAAGGAATTATTGAAGTGTGAATATGAGAGTGTCTGGGTTTAATTAAAAAGAAACTGATCTGGATTAATGTCCAAGACTCTGAGCATGAGGGGGCTGAGTAGTTGCTCGCATTACCTCTTCTATTCTTAGCATTTATTCCTCGAACAAAAAATGCATATATATAAAAACTATATGTTCTTACGCACACACTATATTTACAGCATGAGTCATACTTGGAGGTGGGCTAGTTCACTTTGACAGTATAAAAAATGGGGCGGGTTGAGAGCATGAAATGAAAAGCACCAAAGACTGAAGCTCCACAACACCACAACCACGCAGCATTTGGAGCTCAGCTGTTCAATAAGCCGAGTCTGGTTCTACGTTATGTGCGAAACAGCTTGAGGGAGTTTCAACCCTGACATGCTCGGTAGAAACATTCACAGAAACATCACCACGGACCCAGATATGCTCACAAACCCAAGCTACATCTCGACAGCTTGAGCCGAGGAATGCAAACAACAACACTCTCTGATCTTCAAAGCTCCCAGGTATGTAGACAGATGGCAGTCAAACCCCAAACACAGGGACAGGTCAGGAACAGGGCGAGGCAATCAGAGGGACCACAAACACACAGCAGACCAAATAACACAACAGAAGCAGGGGGGGAAAAGAGAGGTGGAGGGGGGAGATAGCGGGGGAAGATAGCACGGGCCATCGTACGAGAGAAGAAGCAGTCTCACAGACCTGATCAGGGAAAATCCTGGTTTTTGTCTCAATCATGGGTCCTCCCCTTATCTCATCCTCCACAGCCATGAGTCTTGGAAGCAGAGAAAGAGAGAGAAAGAGAGGGGGGAAGGGGGGGAGGGTCGACAGAAGAGAGGGAGAATTATGAATCCAAGATGGTACTTAACAAGAAGTTGAGCAGGTGCATCTCCATCATCTGCCTCAACAGCACAGTGATAAGATGTCGGTTACCTGTATCTCAAATCTGGAACCCAAATCTGATAGGCAATCTTTTCTAGCCCATGAAAGTGATGAGCAGCAGTAACCAAGGCAATGTTTTTCAGGCTCTGCCAATTTTCACTGGAGCCGTTTATTTTTTTTCTTCCTCCGCCCATGGGATTCATCAAAGCATTTTTGCCCGATTTAAGGTGTTTTCAAAGCGCAATTAAGGCCAACTGTGGACAATTAAACTCGGTTATGTGAAGTGAACGGTTCAGTAACAAATCCCGATCATCCCCAGGGAATTGCATAACTTATGTAATATGGACCGGCCAAGGCATTAGTGGAGGAATCCTTTGATTCATAATTTCAAACACTCGCAAATATGAGCTAGCTGACTTTCATGAGCCATCGGACAATGCCAGTTTCCCAGCTTCAAGGGAATTACTCCAAAAAGAATCATTTAAGGATATTTTTCATACAGGAATATCATGAAGCCAACTGGTTAAACTGTGAGTATTGTTATGGTGGTGATACATGCCACATAGAAGTTAGTGTGAATAAATGAACCCTTCTTCACACGATTTCATTGGGTTGCCTCCATGACTTTCCGTGTGTTTTACAAGATTTTGCAGGAGCAGAAAAACATCCTTACAATTTATTCACTGAAATAAGCTCACTGAAATATTATCTGATCGTAAAACACGGAGGAGAAGGAGTACCTTTATGTCAATTTATCTGGGATGAATTACCAGAAAATGTTGTTCATTACGCCAACAAGTCAATCATATAGTTGACAGCAAACTTGAATTGCCATACATGGTCCACTGCAGAATCAAAACACCAGTAATCAAGTCAAAATGTGTCACTTCATTTTCAGCACATGTATATCATTTTATTCAGAACACAGAGAAGCACATGTTTGACAATAAAGAACGGAAATCCACAGGTGAAGTTTCAAACAAACAAGTGTTTGGATGTTTTATTCCATAAATAATGTACAGTGTTGAGTTATTTTACAAAAGAAGAGATATAGGAAAAGAAAATAATCAATCATACTGTAAGCACACACAGAAATATAAGCACTGTCCCAAAAAACAATGGAATGCAACATGGGTATACAGCATTAAGATTTCGACATGACTTCAAGAGGCAGACAATGATTCATGTGGGTGATATGTTACAAAAAAAGAGTTGAGCTTTTTATATCCAGTTGTACTTCAAGTAGTGTGCTTTTGAGGTCAAGTCGTACATGTAGTCAAAACAATGTGTGTATCTACCAACATGAGGTCACAATGTCTGAATATTTTTTGCTACAGAGAAAAAAGGCAAGAGACAAAGGCGTCAAATAGGATGTGAAGTTGATGTAATGTCAATGAAAAGCAACATCAGACCTGGATCAAACAGCAGCTGCAAATACTTTCTCTTTCTTTGCCAACAAGTGCAACATAAAGTATGTTTCAATGGCTGAAAACTTACCTCTCAACATTTGATTGGTGTTCATGCAGCAGACACCCCCCCCCCC